CACATCCGCCCAGATTGATGAGGCGGAGGAGTGCCAGTCGGCGGATGAGACCTGCGGGGAATGGGCGGTGCTGGCGGACGCGTGTCATCGGCGGATGAATTGTTGCTAGGGAGTGGAGGGTATCGGCGGACGAAATGTTTTGGCGGATGAGAAATCATGATTGTCGGCGGATGGAGCTCAACTGCCCCTAGGCTTTTGCGGCGGATGGTCCTCATGGGTTGTTGCGCGAGTAGACATAGAAAGGTACAGTAATCATACACGCGCTACTGTAGTCGTAGATATACAAATTGAACATGCTGAGCGGACGGATGTCACAGACGTTCACATCCACCGAGATTGATCGGGAGTGCCATTCGGCGGATGGGAGCTGCGGGGGGCAATGTTGGCGGACAAGGGTTGTCCTGTACTAATGAAGGAAGATAACGTCCGTTGGCAAACTCGGCTTAGGCTCAATGTGAAAGCTTGTGGGTGTATTGGGCGGTCTACTCTATGATAATTGGACGGTCATCTGCTTCTGGATCTCTCATTCCATCGACCAATGTGGCACTCCAGAGTCAGCCCATGTCTGCACGTTCTTTCTCATGTAGAATGCGCAGCACACCCTATTACCCCGCACCATAGGGACGTGATGGCGGATAAACTTGCCACAAATTGCAACCACTGCACCCGGCGGATATGAAAACTCCAGCCCCAGTCCAGGGATATCAAACACGCCTCCATCATAGTCGCCACACGTGAATAGGAGGTCGTACCATGGCAAATATCCGCCAATATCCTTGTGAGGTACCGTTACCCTGTTGGAGATTATTCCAACCGCCGTGAACACTGACTCCCACGCCCGCGCGGATGAGACAGTTGCGTGAAAATTCTTGCAAAGGCGGAGGCCTTTCCTTCCTGCTTCGTATTGTCCTGGGTGAATCAACGCCAATATCACGTTCATCAGCGCGAACAACTCGCGAGATTCCTGCACCCAGGCGTATACATCGTCGTTCTGAAAATTGGTGCTGGGGGTAGGAGGCCGCAAGTCATCTCCTGGCTGCGTACATTGTTATCAGTGTACCATCGTAGGGAATCTGTTCTGCTACACTTACCCCTTGCCCAGCTCCATACCAGCCCATCGAGATGTCGATTGATCCTGGAGGAAGCACCGCCAAGCGACCCATAACGATATTCCAGAAATTTGATGCGGCCCTCCGCCATCCGCGCTGATTCTTTGCCATCTGCTCCCCCATAGTCTTGTACAACAGGGGCAGCGCGAACCGACACGTATCCTGTGGCAAGTTAGCGCATCGAACGTTCCGCCACCGCCAAGATGAATTCCTTACATCTTGGCGGGTGGTTGCCACCGCAAAGGGCAGGTGCCACCCAACTACCCGCATGTCCGCGTCGACGAGTTTACAAGGCCGAACGACGCGTATTGTGTGACCTTCGGCATGTTTCTTCAGAGCGTCCGGTTCGTCAAAGAGGTCGTCCGCCGTGTTCGTTGTTATAGTTGGTCGCATTGGCTGCTCGAGCAGATCTTGCTCGGGTCCCAAGCCGTCCTTCCGCGCACCCACAGAGTTCAGATGTCGGATGTATTCTGGAACTGTCCAAGACATTTGGACTGGCGGATGGCCGTGGTGGACACGTCGATTCAGTGCGGACGATTCAAAGCAGATACGCTCACCGACGTGTTTGCTTGCATCCGCCACCTCGCAGGCAATTTTCCAAATTTCATAGGCAAACTTTGGTGGTAGCGGTTGCGGCGGATTTGGCATGCCCGGTCCGCCTGCAAAGCACATTTTTCCGTAGTTCACCGCGTTGTCGCTGAAAGCTAGCGTTTCCAAGCTTGTCTGCTGCAGCTTTTCAATCTCGTCTGGGGTGAACGACATCTGAAGTACTGTCCACCTCGAACCCTATTCAGCCTGTTTATATAGAAGCACACAGACTTCGACAACGTGGTAAGCTTCTCTGCAGTAAACAACTGTCAATAAGGCCAAAGCGAGCAACATGTGTAGCGCGTCGTTGCAGGGGCATCCTTCGCCCTTTCTTCACTCCCATCCCCAACCACCTCGACCCAACATGTCCCCTCGCCCACCGATGCCACCTTTCATGCCCACCTTGGACTTCGACTGGCCCACGGGTGCCCAGCAGGTTCAGCTCGTCTACAACATCTTCGAAGGACGTCTGCGCGGCGCGTTGGCCAAGAAGGAGCACGTGGCTCCTGATGATTTTGATAGGCATTGGCTGAAGATGATTGTAAGTTGTCAGTGTCTTGTTCGCGCCTGACTGATGTGCACTGTCTGTAGATACCCATTCTGAAGGTACTGGATTACATCCAGGAGCAAAAGGGCCTCACCGCCTCTCCGGCCCTCATGGCGATGCTATATGGCGGGCGGCCCACGAAAGACGGCGCGTTTAGAGCCGTTGAAAAGGTGCTGCGGGATACCGCCCCCAACTTTGTCCCCCCTGCCGACCTTGGCAGCGACCTCTGGTGGGCTGCCTGGGGGACTCCGGTGGTGTCTCCCCTCTTGCCGCCCTCAGAGGACCCGTTGACGCAGCTGCCTCCCCTCCGCCTTCGCGACCACTCCCCTATGGCAATCTCCGTCCATGACGATGGGGACACCGAGCCCGCTGTCGAAACGGGGCAACGGCCGCCGGCGGATATCGACCTCGCCCAGTCCGACCGCGAGGAGACTGAGATGGAAGAAGTACGTCCCCGCTCCGTTTGCGGACCCCTGATATCATGAAAGTTTTCTTCTAGGGCGCGAAGAAGACTGGCCAGGCGAAAAAGAAGCGCAAACGCGAGAACTCGCATACCGCTGGCGGAAGCTCTGCTGCCGGCGAGCAGTCAACGGCCCAACCACAGGAGCGGACAGCTCCCAAAAGTAAGGTTTTTCTCTGCTGCAAATCATATATTGACGAGTTTGTATAGAGCAAAAGAAAGTCCGCCTCGCGACGACGACAAAGGCTCCCACAGCGGGCGGATCCAAACAGGCCGCAGCGCCGGCTGACCAGCGTATTGAGGACATGACGCCCGCCAGGGCTGCCAAGGCTGCCGCCGCCGCTGTTGCAACGCTTCAACGTGAAGTGGAAGGGTATGGTACGACATTGAACGATATCGTTCAGCGGGTCAACTGCATCGCAACGGCCGAGCAAGTGGAAGCCTTGCGACGCGAAGTGGCCGAGTTGACCAAGTCGCGGAAGGAGATGGCGGAGAAGCTGAAAGCCTTTGAGGCCGCACATGGAGGCCGCACCAGCCGCCAGTAACTGTCAGCCCTTTGTCGTTGCATATACCATCGGACGCATCATCTTTTTCTTTATTATACAACGTAGACGTTTGAGCAGCACGGACTTCACATGAAATAAATCTTTGCCACCCTGACACCGGCGGATGTGTTTTCGCTTTCGCTAGTGCCCAAATCTAGCCTCTTCATGGTTTCATCTGTTTAAGTCTCACTTTTTCATTTCAGTGTCTACTTGGGCATCAACTCATGGCCTTCGTCCGCTCCCAAAGCCCAGGGGCAGTCGAGCCCCATCCGCCAACACTGATGGTGTATCATCCGCCAGCAGCCCATCCGCCTATATTGCTCGTCAGCCCGCACTGATTGCAACATTCACCTCCATTCTCCAGTGTACCCCCAAAAAAACTGCTGCTAATCCATCCGCCGATAACGCTTGTCGACCGCCACCGCCCATTCGGTCATATCATAAATTTCATGAGCTG